GCGCGTGTGCACCAGCAGCTGCGACGGCGACGGGAACCACTTGGGGCAGTGCGGGCAAGCGTGCGCCCGCCGCCGCTGCCACGCCCCCGCGCCCGACCCGGCCGGTCGACCGGGCCGCCCGGGGGGGCCCGCGCCCCACGGCGCCTGCACTGGCGCAGCCGCAGCCGACGCCGACGCGTACTGGGCTGGGGAGAGTCACCACCGCGGCAATTAATTTCTACTACAGCGCACGCATGCGGTAGGGTCAGCCTTTAAGTATCTCTGACAGCTCCCACGCCGGGCGACCTGATGCACCGTAGTATTTATTCCGTGGAGATGACAATGAGCGCAACGCCGCAGCCGTAATCTCGTGGACGTCGTGTGTTCTCTCCAGTCCGCCGTCTGCCTCGCGTCAAGATTTATTCGAGGCGCGACAGCCATTTAGCTATCGACCGGTAAATGTAGTGCTTGTATCTCTGAAAATGGCGATGTTCCTCGCTGGACCGGCAGATCCGGCTCTGGCCCTTAAGTGGGCTTGCGACTGTCCCCTTGCAGGTATCTCCATCGAATAGTACACCTTTCCAGCCGGAACAAACTCTAAGCTCCTGGCAGGTCTTTCGATATGTGGGGTAGTGTACTGCATATATGTAAGTGAATAGAAGGAGAGAGGTAATGATGAAGGAAGGATAGCGATATCTGGTATTGTTCAGATAAACACCAAAAACTACGGCCAGAGTAGTAAGTCACTAGAATTTCCCTCCTAATAGCGGCTGAAATCCATCAGCAATAGACTTAGATTCGGTAGAACTCTACAGTCTCCCGGTCAGCATTGCTGCCGCTCAGCAATCGCGATTTTGCTGGGAAGGGTCACCAACGAGGCAATTAATTTGAACTACAGAATACGCATGTGGAAAGACCAGCGTCACAAGGCCATCGTCGGTTCTCCCAGCTCGGCATCCGCGTAGACGCCAGTAACTGACGAAAAAGAAGAAACAGCATATCGCGGAGTGACAAGGGAAGACAGCCCTCACAAGATAACCAGCCGCAAATGTGCTTGGTCCACCACGATTTCCATAAGTACTGATGAGCAATGGAGCTCGGATTCCTAGAGGTTGCAACCAGCGCACTAGCAGCTTCATTACGGATCGCACAAACGTCCCGTGAGGTGCTGCGAAACCACTGGCGAGTGATGTCATGGCAGCAGATCAGCAATGCCGCTCGCTGACTCTCAATTGCCACTGAAGGCTCCTCAATGGCCCCAATCGGCGGCCCCCCTTCCATTAAATAATCATTCCATATGATCGCATCGCCAAAGCACTAGGATGCGTTTCAAGAGCTCTATGCTTCATCGTTTAACTCTGAGACTTTGACAACGTCGAGTTAAGTCCGAAAAACATTACGGATTGGAAAAGCTAGAAGATTGTAATAAAAAATTGGTGCAATAATTCTTGCTTTTATTAAGCAATTGTTTCAAATAATAGTCGGTTTGCTTTTTGACTTAATATAATACTTGAGGTAATATTCAAAAAACATCTTTAAAATATTTAATCTTTCATTAATGATTGGAATGTACTTGCTGAATTCTATACTTTTCATCACTTAGTTTGGTACAAAAGAACATTAACGATTGTTATGTTTGAATATATTCAACAATAACTTGAATTCAACAGAAAAAATATACTATTAAATATATTAGAGAATTTCTTAATATTTCTGCTCGTTATATTACGTCAGGGTGAATTACATGTGCCGTAAGTGTAGTTTTACTCCACGTGTTGGAAGTTAAGTTGATCAATAGACCCAAAAGGATATTTGAAGTTGCAGAAACAATACGTCTGGTGATGTTAGTCCGGGTTCTTGTGTTGCAGTACGTCCGCAAAATATTCAACTCTGTACACACTATGCAGCTTCATTCATCTGTCATCCCTGAGGTACCCGGTGTGCGTCAATGACGCAATTGGCAACAAGCGCTCCCAACTGTCAGAGACATTTAAATGCTGACACTACTTAAAGAACATCGGATTCGGTCCCAATTCAAAAAACAATTTATTTTCATTGGGAAGACATCATGAGGTACAGATTCTTTAAAGGCATGCATTCTGAAGTGAATAATAGAAAAAATATTTTCCTACATCATTTGAAATTGAAAAAGTATTCCCCTACATCACTCGAAATTAAAATAAATACTAATACACCAGTTAGAGACTAATTAGTTTATTGGTTTAAAAAATCTATACGGCTGAACTGCAAGAACGTCCTACGCAAAAACAGTTTTAAAAACTGGTATTGACTGAGAATTCTGTAAACCTCGATGACCTAGTGCATTTAAAGCTAATAGTGTTACAGCGCGAACAGGAATAGTATCAGTCTTCCTTTAAGGCAGATTCGAGGCACTAGTGATACAATCGCATATTCGTGTTCAATTTGATGCAGGCTGAATCTGAAATATTATAAATGTGTTCGTAAAAGTAGACAGCGATTTATGCCTAAAAAGGAGCCTAAACATTTTCCCGCCCTAGCCTGTTTACTTAAGGCGGAAATTACTTTTCTTTCTACAATAGCACTAATGACAATGAGCGCCACGCATTATGTACTTCATTTGAGTGTTACACAACAAACAGGTATCCTTAGCCCTTACGAATCTTTCCTCGATAATTAATTGTTGATGTGAAATGTTTTGTCAGGGTGGGTTTTTTAATAAAGATTTTCGCAAACCTGGGGTACTTTCTTTACTCAGGGCAATTTTCAAATACTCAATACTTGTAGACACACAATTATCGAACCCTTCTGAAATAAGTGAATGAGACCTACGATAGCGTAAAACAAAGATCAACATGCTCTTATCCAGAATAGACAAAAGTGGCTTCGTTCCTAGTTTATTCCGACGATAGTTGAACGCCGTGTAAATTACTGTGGGATTCATAATCACGTTTTTTTTTAAATTGTCAACACTAAATTATTGCGCTAAATATTGTTTTATCTACTTTCCTTGTCAATTTAATAATTTTAAAATTTTAAAAAATACAGAGGGCAAATAATACGAACTAGTCCATCTGAAAATTGGATAAAGATGGTTTCGTAGTAGTTTTTTTTTTTTCCTTTCTTTCTTTCTTTCAATATTATCAAGCGACTCAACTGCAAACGCGTTGAAATATCATTACCGATATTTCATTTTAAAGTTTCATTAAAATTCCAGGTATCTATTTAAAAACCATTCCACAACGAACAATGTTAGAAAAAAATGTTTAATATAAATGTAAAAATGTTCAAAATAAACCGTTGCCTGAGAACTCTTCTCGCCCGGGTATGAGCATGCACGCTGGCCAGATCCGCAGAGCGCAGACTATCACACCGTTTCTTTAGAAACATGTGGTGAGATGTCATCCAGTGCAACCGCCCTCTCAGAATTCCCTGGCCACAGCGCCGAGGCACCAGCTTCCCTCGGTCAAATAGGATTTTCGAACAATGGAAAAACCAGTGGCCACAATCCATGCAACCAATGTTCGGCTTTTAGCTTTTCGGCCATTTTTGTCCATTCCTGACATTAGTATGTCATCGGAGATTTTTTAATGTCGATCATTTCAATCTTTAATTTTGTTACGATCCACAGCTGATTTCGCAATATTGTAGACATCACGAGATAGAGCGCAGACTTGTCGCCAAAATGGCAAAAAACTTAGCTCATTTAGGTGCTTTTACATGTTCCAAACCTGGAACATGGGGACCATCAACTTTATTTTCATTTCAAAGAAAAACTAATGTCTACGGGCAGGGTAGAAGTAAATGACTTGAAATAGAGAAGTCGCAAGATTTTTATAAGTATTTTTTTAATCAAACCCGCTTCACTTGGGTACAATGGACGGAACCCTCACCACTCACTATTGAGACCGCCCCGCCTGGCAGATCACCGGTGAAACTCAATCCACCATCGACACTAGTCTTCTGGCGAGAGTACGTGCTTCCAGGCGCGTCAACTACTATAGTCAGTCATTAGTCCTATAAAAGTTGTGCAAGATATATCCCGGGAAGTGGCAGTGTTCCTCTTCCGCTATAACGTAAGATACGGCACCGAATTCAACTCGTCGGCTTACGGAGTTTCTCCGCCAGGTACCTCTCACAGTGTCCTCCCCCCTGGGGGGGGGGTTATGGCCACGTAGGCGGTCAAGATCTCTGGTGGAGAGTTGTAGACGTAACGGTTGGGAATCAATGGTTCGACATGGGATTTCTTCTGCTGCGATTTAAAAGACACCTGCATGAAAACTAGCAGTCTTCATCCAGAAGTTCCTCGCTTCACACGGTGGCAAGTGCCCCGAATTGGCAGATTTCGAAATTTCCCCACTTTCTTCCGTCTTTTTGAGGTTCAATATGTAACCCGCGCCATAAATTTTCCTGGAAGATTAAAAATCCGCAATATTTGCCTTCATTTATTTAAGTTTCTTCGCTTTTTATCTTATTTCGAAAGTAACAAAGATAGTACATAGTTTGGCCAATGAAATCTCCCGGACAGTTCAAGCGGTCAGGCATAGCTCACCACTACTTTACTAGTAAATGAACTGTAGTAAATGAACCGGTGAAGAAATGGCGAAAACGTATTTTACTTCGTTTCCGCGGGGTTCATGCGGAAAATTCAGCATTTGCGCATTCCGATTCATGCCCGATTGGCATCTGACCACCGTGCCAAGAAGCGTCAATCCTAAAACCTTTGGCGAGGCAAGTCAATTTTACAAGAGTGATTTAATTTCCCCCGGGCATGGGGTGAATCAGAATGGAAGAGCTAGTGTGATCATTTGGAGCGCGAATGGGCGCGCGGCGAGTACTTGACTTACGTTTCGCAAAACAAAAATATATATACCACAAATATTTACATAAACTACGCTCACATAGGGCAGCAATATTCACGGAATTTGTCTGGTACGATTATTAATGCATAAAATAAAGCTATGAATTTTACTTATTAGCAGGACAGGTTGAAATTGATACACACAGATTTTATATTTTCAAGTTTCACTCTGTAAAATTATATTGTTTAATACTTCTTCACAATTTATGCAATTAACACTGTTGGAGTTCATCTTTTAAATTAAGTACTGCATTCGAGTACAGAGTTGGTTCAAAAAGGTGAAGTCCGAAGGCCTGACAAACCAATCCATCATTAAATTACTCAACATTAAAGACAAGAAGTAGCAGGTGCTTCATGAATAATGTAAGAATTTTAGCATCCCTGAGTATAGAAACCTTTGAAACCCTACTTCACATTAAATTTACACAATACAGATTTACACAACACAAACTGCATTATAAAAAAAAACATTTACACCCCACATTCTCCAACTAATTTTACTTAGCTTATTTATCTTTCTTTATTCAATAACCATAATTAGACCTAATATTTTTTTTGTAATTCACTTGTTAAAACAGTTACCTATCCAGTAACAATGCTTCAATCTTGAATTCATGTGTAGAGAAGACAATGAGTACTGTCCACATGCATGCCCTTGTTTTCTCAATGGTATTTTTTCTACTCTATATGTTTTATTACGCATGTATTTATTATGCATTTCCAGTAATTGTTTCAAGATTTTCATGATGATTCAAATTGGGGTTTACAAAATGAAAAAGTAACGACTTCACATGTACTGTTTATTTAATGCTAGTCACAGAAAGGTTCAACATGATAATTTAGGAAGATCTATTACTTAAACACTAAACTGAATCAAAAATAATTTTAACCCAGATTACTGATAACTTGTTTATGGTAAATTTGAAAGCATTTATCATGTAATGGCACTTTACAATTTTCACAAGATTTATTGGTTTTGTTTTTGCATAGACGACACCTCCGCCGCCGGCATCCAGTTATTATTAGATGTTGATCAGACGAATGAGGCAGTGGGATAGGCTGTGTTTGAGCTCGTCGTGGACCTGTCGGACCACGAAATTTGAGTAATCGAACAAATTTGCTTTTACATCAACATTTTACATTACTCATTTTATTGCTGTACTTTCTAGCAAAACTCAATGTGTTTGACATGCACTTATAGAACATTAATAGCAATACTAGAAAAAAAAGTTTCATTCCCTAAAAATAAAATACAATCATTGGCTATTTCATAGGGCAGTATAACAACCTTCATTAGTAACTGGATTGACCTCCCATTTCATCACAGGAATGTTATCAAAAATGCCCCGTAAGGTCCATTGGTGCCTTCCAAAGGATAGTTACTTGACTGTTTTCTTCCAGTTCCCATAATCTCCAAACCAGACAGATCCAGATTGCTTATTACATTGACTGAAAAATGAAGGGAACTTCAATGCCAACATCTTCCTTGAAAACATCAATCAAAGGTCATCGAATAAGTAAACATGCAGTAAAAGAGTTAGCGATAGTAATTTTACTGTATGCCTCTGTACACATCAATCTCATGAAATCATTTCACTAATTAATCTTCCATCACATTTTCATCTTTATAAATATCTATATAACATATTTTGTATCATCATCGTCCTATTTTCTAGTGGCATCAGGTAACGAATTGCAATATTTGCAACCAACTAGCTGTCATATCTGCAAATGTTGCATCTTAATTTACACTAGGCAGTGCAAGATAAGTAAACGTGATTCTCAAAGAGACAAAAGACTGATAAGTGGGTGGGTTAGTAACAACTCATGAGTGTAAATAAATTAAATGTTAATGAAGCATTTTCTATAACAATGTACTTCAACCACCTGAAGTGACCAGCTCTACCCTGGTACTTATTTATCACAATCTACTAGCCAGAAAAAGGAATAAATTTTATGCGTGAGTATACGAAAGAACTTTTATCAACGTCTTCCACAACCACCACCTCTCTGCACCTGGTCATGCACCAACTTGACAAGCAATTACCATATTTATTGTGGGTTGCATTCTTTCTGAGTGCTCCTGTGGGCAACATTTCTCAAATTCAAATAGGGTAGGTAATCAGATTGTCTATTTAATGGCATTTATAGACAAGAATGGTTTTTGAATCCTGACCGTATAACCTGTTAACACATTATAATCATATAATTACCGTTAACCGTATAAACACGTTAAATAAAGTGTGCCTTGAAGTGAGACACTGGTGTATTTCATATAATATCCATACCATCTTTATTGAAATTTTTTTTATTAACTACAATATTAATGTATTAAAAAATTTGACTTAATATGTATACAACTATGCATTATGTATATATCTCATTGTACTTCATTTTCAAGTTTTCTTTTTCCTCACCTTCGACATAATCATTACTGGTACAAACATCAAATCCTGTTTTTGAGTTGGAAAATGAAAACTTATCCAAAGGAATATAGCTCTCGACATTTTGCAATGAAATTTCTGTGAAAATTACCTATTGATTTATTCCACCTGTAAACAGTTTGGAAGTTTTCCATGTGCTTAATATATGAGGACTTAAACAAATGTGCTCTTCAATACTTTCCCTGCTTGTATACTTATGTTTTCCATATCTCTCTCTTTTGTCTTCTTGAAGTTCACCATAAACAACTTCACTTTTCTTTTCCAACACGGTTCAAATAGGTCGATCACATGTCTAAAGTATTTCCGAAAAATAATTTGCACATATGAATTTTCTTTTCCTGCACCTTCACATAAAAAGCATTGTTATTTTGACCACCTTCACAAAAATAATGACCTTTCAGTTGAACAGCTTCCATACAATTTGCAATGAAATATCTCTGCCTCTCAATATCGCCTAGCTTCCAATAATCAGAAAAAAAATTTTGACGTTCTTCCTGTTATTTTCGATGCGCATTTTAATTGCAAGGCGGTTTTATCCATCTTTCCTTGACTACCTCATTTGTATGGATCAATTGACACATCATTGCCAAATTTCTCAATTTTTTTGAGACATTTTTCTTTATTTCTTACACGCTTCAGTCCTTCCTTTGAAGGGCTAGTCAAAACCACAGAACCACTTAGAGGTGAACTCTCATAACTCATGTCAAGTATCATGTTACCATTAGCTGAACCAAATATGGCAGCATTTGCAGTTGTGTCATTAAGATAAATACCTCTAGTGCTTGCTTCTCTATTGACAAAGTCCCCATAATTTTCATCCTCACTGTTTACATAGTCACATCTTTTGTTTTGTAAGTAGTATCAACTACCAAGTCAATACAATCTGAAACGTAATGTTGCTAAATGAAATGTAAACTTAAGGTTGCCCATAAAATTTATGATTCTCTCACGAACATAGAAACTTAGAAAACAAAAACTAATAATTTTAAAAAAGCCACAACATATTTACAACAAAAAAATTATTAAATTAACTACACCATCTAAAAAAAATATGGAGAAACTACATTAGAACTGCAGAAACTTTTACCATGACCAAACCTCCTGCTTGCCACTACTTGGGTTAATTTTAATTAACTCAATCACAGCCAACAATGTAAAAAAAAAATTACTTAAGTTTCCAAAACAATTAAAATCCTTTGATAAAGAATATTTACTAATGAGTTGGTCATTTTATTTACTTTATAGATTTTTTTGTTTTTGTTTCAAATGTTGATTAGACTTAAACAATTAAACACAATTATCATTAATTGAAGGACTGTCTTACAGTTTTGAAACTGTATTCCGTCATGAACAATTCTTCAGTACAATATCATCAGTCTCAATCTTTCAACAGATGAACAAACATAATAATAATACCTACTTCAAGGGATATTCAGCAAATTTGATCATGAAAGGAAAACATATTAGAATTGGGTATAAACTTTAATAAGGTACAGCGTGATGGCCCAAAAAAGTCATTGGGGCCCATAAGCACTTGAAAAATATGTAGAAAGCAACATGCTTTCTTCGTAATCGTCCATCTTTCAACTTGTAAGCTAATATGCTACAACAAAATTAAATGGAAACAAATAAAATGCTTTATTATTTAATAAGGTATTTTTGTTTAGCTTTGCGTACCAACTTCGCTAGGCATTTTCATGTTAAAAAGTTTTACCAGAGCTTTCGAAGTTCATAATGTAAACCTGACTTGTCCATTTTTGGGCATAGAAAATATCAGTGTAAAGGTAGTGATTAAAATACTTGTTTAAAATTTTATTCCCCTACAAATTTACATGAAAATATCATATGTGATGAATCAAGTCATGATTCATATAAATCCCAGAAAGAATATTACAGAAGTTCACAGCATTTGACCAATATATGTGTAGGAGCACTGAAACCCTCAAAAACACATTTTGCATGCATTCTTCCAGAATATCCTAAAGGCAATCACCTAAGAATTGTGCCAATTGATTTATCATGCTATGAGGAATCAAATGAGCTACTGATCACCTCTGTAGGTGCCATAAGTCACCTAAAACATGCTTTAGTTTTTAAACAAACCAAAACCATACTTGATTGCTTTATTTTCTTATAGTTTTCTGGATGGATCTGCAAAACCACAATCTTCCCCACCAGGAGACTGAGATGCTTGGATTGACACTCCATGCAACAATTGCAACAATTTTGAATTGAAGTAGTCTAACCATGAATAACAACTGGATGAATCAATTACTAGTACATATGAATAACAGGAAAAGAGGAGTTTGCAAGGTCAATGCAACCTGTGCTTAGTTTTAAGCATGGTGTAAATGAAACAATCATGGAATAAAGTAAAATAAGAGTAAATCAGGAGAACATTTATTACAAACCTGCACCAGACTGCACAAGAGATATGAAGAACTATAAATTCTTGGAAACCAATCCTAATAAGACTGACATCAGTTAGTGACCACAATGACACCAATATTTTGTCTAGTCCTTCAGTCTCAAAATATTATTAAAGAATACAGCAGGATTAGTGATGGAGAAAATTCTGAAATCACTGCAGTAGTGTGAAAGGAGTACAAAGGCTCTATTCAATTTAAAACAGATTTTTCTTTGTTATAAAATAGGTACGTAGTTTAGGGAACTGGACTAATTGTGGACTAATGCCCATAATGAAATGAAACATAAGGAAAATTCCAGTGTAGACCTTCCAAATTAACTTATTTTCCATATTAAAATCATATGTTGGACCTAAATCCCATTTGATTCACATTTGCAACCCGCAACACTCGGGCACAGTTATATAATTATGAAACAAAGCATTCTAGCACTTTCAAAACTGGAATTTTAAGGCCAAAGACCTCAAAGAAATGTACCTCACCCATAACTTACAGGATGAGAACTTCTCAGACATTCTATTACATTTTTGCTGTTTCGATTCTTCTCAATACTACATTGCACTGCAATTTCAATCATTGCGAAAAGTTAGTGTTGTAAATTCCTGATCCTGCATTTTCACGTCTACAACTTTACGCAGCTTTCTTAAGTATGTATTTGTATTATTATTAGGATGTGATTTGTTATCTTATGGTTTAATTTTATTGAGGTTTTGGATTTGAGGTTTAAAAATTATGGCGAGAATTTCTATTTATCAATATAATTATTATAAAAATTTGTTTATTTTGATGATTGTTTTTTTAATGTTGATGTTAATATGTGCTTTTTCGAGAACTGCTATAGTGTCTTTATATTTTTTTTGAAGGTAATTGAATTCCTACATTATTTTTAATTTTGGGATGGGGCTATCAGCCTGAATGTGTTCAAGCTGGTATTTATTTATGTTTTATACGTTATTAGCTTCTTTACCTTTATTAATTGGTTTATTGAATTTTTATAAGGTGAATGGGACATAGGGTGAATGGGACATTGGGTGAATGGGAATATTTGTATGGATTTTGGAGTGATAAAATTGATAATTTATATATTTATTTGAGTATAATTGTTGTGTTTTGGGGTAAAATGCCTATGTTTATGGTTCATTTACGATTACCTAAGGCTAACGTTGAGGCTCCTATTTCTGGTTCTATCAGAAATGGTATTGGCAGGTGTATTATTAAAGTTGGGTGGTTATGGATTGATGAATGTTTTTAGAATTATAGTGTTTTGTTGTTTAAAATATAATTTTGTTTGAATTAGTGTTAGTTTGATTGGGGGCTTTTTAATGGGGTTGGTATGTTTACATAGAGTTGATTTAAAGTCATTAATTGCTTATTCATTTGTTGTTCATATAGAAATGGTTTTGGGTGGTTTAGTAACTTTAAATTCTTGAGGTTTTTGTGGTTATTATTTGATAATAATTGGACATGGATTATGTTCTTCTGGTTTGGTTTGTTTATCTAATGTTTTTTATTAACGATTAGGGAGTCGCAGACTGATTATTAATAGGGGGTTTGATATGTTTAATACCTAGAATGACATTATGAAGATTAAGATCATCTAATATGGCAGCTCCTCCTTCTTTAAATCTGTTGGCGGAAATTAGATTGATTAATAGAATTATATCATGGAATTGATTAAGAATATTTTTGATTGCTTTAATATCTTTTTTTAGAGCTGCTTATAGATTGTATTTATTTTCTTAGAGTCAACATGGAATGATTTTTTCCGATTCATTTAGTTATGTAAATGGTTATTTTCATGAATATTTATTATTTTTACAGTGATTTCCTTTAAATATTACAAGGAGGGATAATTTTTGATGTATTTAGCTTTATTAGTTTAATAAGAATGTTGATTTGTGGGATCAAAGGTATGTAATAAGTGATATATTAGGCTATTAATTATAATAATTTTATTTGTAAGTTATCCTTTGTATTTTATTTTTTATATCAATAATAATATTTTTTTCTGGGTTGGGTATTTGTGTAAATGATTATATAATTTTTTTGGATTGGAATATTGTGTCTTTAAATTCTTGTAATATTATTATAAGAACTCTTTTGGATTATAAATCATTATTATTTATAAGATCTGTTACGTATATTTCTTCTTTAGTGATAGATTTAGTTATGGAGATAGATATATAATAGGTGATTATAATTTGTCTCAATTTATTATTTTGGTTTATTATGCTTTTGTATTGTCTATAATGTTTTTGATTATTAGTCCTAATTTAATTAGAATTTTATTGAGATTGTATGGTTTAGGATTAGTTGCTAGTTATTTATTATTAGAATGTTAAGTCTTATAATGCTGGTATGATTACAGCTTTGTCAAATCGTATTGGTGATGTGGCTATATTATTGTCAATTGCTTGAATAATAAGATAACATAGCTGAAATTATTTGTATGTTAATATTTTTGGAAGTTTGGATGTTGAAATATGATACTTTATTATTTTAGTTACTTTAGCTGCTATAACTAAAAGAGCTCAAATTCCTTTTTCTTCTTGGCTTCCAGCAGCTATGGCTGCTCCTACACCTGTTTCTGCCTTGGTTCATTCATCAACTTTGGTGACAGTGGGAGTATATTTGCTTATTCGTTTTGGAGTGGTTATTGAAATGTATTCGATGAGTCGCCAAAACAAAGCGATGTTATGGCAATAAAGCCAAATTATAACTATGATATAATAGACACGAAATGTAGCAGAAGGAAGGAAAGGAACAGATTACCATTTTAGAGTTTTTCAAATAGTTGGACTTAAGTATGCTATTGACTTGTCTGAATACAGCCTTAGAAGAAACCATGTAAATTCTCATTTAACCTTCCATGGCTTCTACTTTGCTTCCTTCAACAGTTTTATCCTTCGACAGAATAAATTGTACTCATTAATTCCACAAAAAATTGTAGATAATTACAACATTAATTGCTTTGTGCAATTATATCAAGCTACACTCATAATTAACCCAACCCAATAACACCCAATTAGGTCACTACAAACACGTATAAATGATGTTGATGTGAAAAAGGAGCACATTACAAATAATGTAGAATATTGATCAACATGTCTTCTGGCTCTATTTTTTAAAAAATGATTGCAGATTATTTTCAATACATTGTACTGTTAACTATGTAATATTTTCCAAAAATCAAAATTCTTTTACTAATTAATTTAGTGTACAAAAAATGTAAAATGTATCACAGGGGCAAAGAAAATTTATTTACTCCACTCGTAAATAAATAAACTCATAGGATTGTACTAATATATAGTTATTTTCACCATCATCCCATTATCCGCTAGATATATTAATTAATATTTACATTAGTTCCCTGAAAAACGTAAAATGAGATTTCACTGTTCATTTCACAGATGATCCCATTAAAGAGACATCACCAACACACCAATTTTGCTTTGAGCACACTTGCAAATATTGGTCATTTTTTGTAAATACCTCAAAAACATAAAACAATTAATGAGATATAGAAACAATTAAAAATTACATTCAAAGGAACAAAATATGTAGGATTTGATTAATAATAAAATTAAAGATAATTTCAATTAACAATTGCCTAAGAATTACTTGACTTTAAATTTTCGAAGTGAAGTTTTCATTATTTATTCACGATACATTGCGAGGTTTTCTATGTAAATGCTTCATTTTATAGAAGCTTATTTCAACTCTAAAAATTAGTTTATTTGTGTTTCATGCCATCCTCACTTAAAAAATTATTTTCTGCACGTTTCTTTCAACGATTTTTTGGAGAAATTCATGTGACATTAAATGTTTTGCACAGCAAAACTTACGACTTAAGCGTACGAAGTTCTTTATATTAGGGTCATTGCAAAAATGGTTCTATTTCTTCAATGATTACAAAGGAGCTCTTAACTTTAAACTTACAAGGATGTTTATTAAAATCCACAGACAACTATTCCTCAATTGCTTTGAGAGTCCATTAATCCTCTCTATAAAATATGCTTTATATTGAACTGACCAAAACAAGCCCAGGAGTGGTTGGAAACTGCAATACCTTTGTTTGAAAGTATCAAACTTGTCACAGGTAAGAAAGTACCAAATATTTCTCCCACTCCTGAAACTTCCCTTGGCACAGTTTTGGCACAAATCTACAAAATTGACCCCAAGCTTCATTGTTTTAGCAACATATTTACACATAGGGAACAGTAATTTTCAAGTTTACTGCATGTCCCACACCAGTCCAAATGCATGATTTATACCTAGCAAACTTTTCAATTTTCATTGATGTAAATGAGGAATCTTTTATTCTCTCTGTATTTATATCATTTTTTTCTAAAAACGCAACTATTAAAAGATACTCAATAACAATGGGCATGCCAACATATCTGAAAAACTAACTCCATGAAACATTTCCTAGCCAGAATTACCAAACGAAAGGAGAATTGCAGGTAAAACACACATACTAGATATGAGTCAACAATGCACCTTATTGCTACATTCTTATGCTGCATGTGCCTTATCCACAACTAGTTTCCATGATGAGTTTTGTTTTCCATCAATTCCCCCAAACAATCCACAAATAGCCCACATTTTCTCCAAATTATAGTCGTATTTTTTCACATATTCTAGGTTCTCCCTAATTACTGTATACTAAAACACTCATTTTAAATACAACAATGACCTTCGAGAAATGCAAAGTAAACAAAGTCTAACCAAAAACCCTCGAGTTGTCTGCTTCTTCCAAAGCATGTCAACAAAGCTAGTCCAACGTCTAAAACGATTACTGTGTCCCCTTACATACAAAATCATAAAGAAAACTTATCTATAAAATATTAGTCAGTGATACAACTGTAATTTTGATTTTTAATACAATTAAAATGCAATGTTTCCACATATAACTGACAACAATTACTCTAGTTCTCTATAAAATTGAATTTTTCCTTACTTTACTGTAAATTGAACTATCATATACTTTTCCATCACTTTACACTATTTGTTGTATTATTCCAAAGAAGCGTGTATTGTTAGTATGATTTAACAAAGTCACCACACATTTTTGTCAGCTCACTATTCTGAATAATAAGCTAAATAAACTGACATTTATCTGACTTTTTTTAACCCTAGGTGATGGCTGCAAGTTCTGCATGTTAGAACCATCACCTTTAAAATATCAAAATGAAGATTGTCACAAACCATTACAAAAAAATCCCAGTTTCCAAATTCCTCGACTTTAAATAATTCTTCCCAGCAGTTATCAAGTTTATAAACAGAAATACTACATATAACCCTCTTGAAAATGCAAATTTACACATTCATGTAAAACAGTTAAGACATCTATTTGAAAAGACAAAAATTTCAACTAAATACTTAAGTTGATTCGTTATTACCTATATTTTAAGATTTACACATTAGTAACTCAGAATCATGTCTATGTTTTTATAATACAATTTATTTTTATTTTGCATTTAAAGTAACGAAAAAAGGATGAAGGAATTGCTATAAAAAATAAGATTACTTTTACACCTTTCAAAAGTTGTGGTGGCAATTTAAAATATTTTGTCAAGCACTGACTTTTATTTCACTACTTACCAAACTCGCCAAAACATGAAAATAAATTTCCATTTTCAAGAGAAATTCGGGAATCAATTGTCACAAAAAAATCTTACCTTGCACATCCGGTGGTCCTGCCATCTGTGGCATTGCAAAGGCACCCGGCAGCACATTGCCACTATCTGAGCATGAAGGAACACCTGGAAATAAAAATGGTTACGTAACTAAAAAATAACTAAACTGAGAAACAATAAGGAAAAAAACATTACACATAACTGCAAGTTAGTCTTTAGATATGCACACCCTAACGATCACTTTAACAAGTTCCTGAATTAAATTACCTCTGACAAACAGTAATAAACCATTTCTTGTAAATCATTATTTTCCATACAATTAATTAAAACCAAGAAATGAGAAGAATTTTATTTAACTTAAAGAGAATCTCACTTCCAAAAAGATGCTCAGGAGCTCTTGGTATGATGAAATGTTGGATTATTTGACAAATTTTAAATGAACTAATTTTTGGCATAGTTATTAGTTTGATTATATTGATAACAATGTTAATTTAAAAATATAAGTTTTACTTAACACATTGAAAAATTTACATTTACACAACAAAAGAGCATACCAGGAAGAAAACATTTAAGTAATAAAGAATTTCATAAATTAATCCCCATAGGTAAATGGATATGAAGGTACCAAAAGTCAGATAACACTAGGTTCAACAAATACAAGAGAGAAACAAACAATTACTCTTCCAAGAAATATTCAAAATAAAATCATTCAGAACCAATCTGAAGTTATTACTAGACTTGAGATTTTAGGACAAATGCCCATTTAGTTCCTTTAAGAAGTTGTGGAAATTTTTATTAATCATGAAACTACATGCACTATAGAATTGCACAGACTTTTCTGTATTAGTTTTCCATTTCCTTTGGTCTCGGCAAGCTATTCGGATTTGCCACATACTCATGCCTGCTGCCATCTATTGACGCCCCAAAACTTTCTTTAAATTCTCTCAATTTTTTGGTTACTTAATATTAAAATGGAAATATTATTTTAAGCATGTTAAAGGACAGTAAAATCTCGTCCAAAATGGCAACTTTAATTGAAAAATTTTGTTGTTTTTAAGAATGCTGTTTTTAAGAAAATGGCATTTAAGCCCTACAGTAAATTCAAAATTTTATGCACTTTTTCAGACAATTTTTGAATTTTCGAAAAACTTATTCAAAGTTATTTGAAGCACTTTAACTCACAAATATAGTGGTGTTTAAAAATTGCTGAAAATATGCATATTAACAGCGTGAGAGATTTTAACATTAGAGTAATTTTTTTGGGGGGGGGGGAAAATCCCAAAATAAACTTTATCTCATATTAACGAGTGCAAATAGCACTGTTCTTTCGAAAAAATTGACCAAAAAAGTTGGAGCTCATTTTGAGAAAATGGCGTTTGAGCATTTCTGAAATTGCTAAATTTTGAGCTACTTTTGACAAAAAACTTGAGTTTTCAAGAAACTTTATATGACATTATTTAAAGCACATGTACTAATATAATAATGTGAACAAATTTCCAATAACATAAATATTAACAATGTGAAAGACAAGTCACAAAAATTACAATTTTGTAATTTTTAAACTATAAAATACAGTGAAAATGGCATTTATGTCATCTTATAAAGTGCATTTAGCACTATCCCTACCAAAAACTCAAAGGAAAAATTTGGAGACTTTGAGAAAATCTTGTTTTCGTAGTGTTTAAAATAGCACAATTTGGGGGGGGGGGGGATTCACACAATGTACCCCCAAAAATTATTGAATGCTTTTCAAAATCGCAGAGCTTTCACTCAGGCCACATGGATAGGGGTTTCTTCAATTTGGAAAAAATCAAACATATAGTATAGGTGCTGGTGTGGTTTACATACACCAGACAGACACTGAAACAAACCAACATTTTCTCGGTATCAGGAGACCCCAAAACATTTATTTCCATTGAAATCCTGAAATCGATTTTCCGCAGCATTACGTAACTTTCCCTATACTACTTATATTACTCCGCATATACATATGTATACAGGAAAGTAAATATAGATCAACTGAACACATCTAATAGTGCCTTGTATGACCTAAAGAGGCAATAGATGCCTATTATAATATTTTTTTGTCTGAAAATGCCTAAAACAAGTAATTTTGAGGAATTACCGTATTTTAATTACTCATTCTTATGTTCTCACCCTTACTTCATAAAATGAAGTATTGGAATCATGTGCCAAGAAAAAAGTTTTTAAAAAATTAGTAAAACTGAAGCACAAGTACTTTTCAGAATTTCTAATATTTCCTGACCGAATACGCAATCCACCTGTAGCCTGTTATTTGTAGTGTTCAGCATCTAAATCGTGACCGGAAAAGAAGGATAATATTGAGGAATGGAAGGTTCATAGAAACAAGAAATGCTGGACATTCCTACAAAAGCCTGAATGGTTATTTAATCCCAGGAATATGTGCACAAGTATATGTTGTGGAAAAGAGATCCAACCATTTTCTGTGTAACATACTATTTTGCCAAATTTCCAAATATGATAAATAAATAGGGAGTTATATTGCTATGATATTAAAACACCCATCATTATTGTTTGATATATTAATGTTTAATGTATTAATGAAGCCAGCATAAACGAAGCAGTATTTCAGAAGATAAAGAGATCAAGTTGTTTCAAGACTTCTATGAACTGGAAGTGCATAGCATTGAACCACTAGTTCATTCTCTTCATTTAAATATTCAAACTATTCTAAAACTTTTTAGTGAGCACAATTTTCTAACCTTTAACAGCAGATTTGACTGTAACTGAGGGAAAAAAAGAAAAAAAAAACAAGTGTGATGGACATGCCTGAACAAAGACTTTAGGTTATTGATCATGACAATACATTATTTTGCATCTATTTCATAATTGTTACAGAAGAAAGCTATTTAAAAAAGCATCTTAAATTAAAAGTAACTTCATACTGCTACTTTTACTGACTTCAAAACACAAATCCAAATCAGTTCAAACTAGAGAAACTAATTCTGATGGTGACAAAGTTACATTATTAGAGATACTAAGAGAGAAATGCCTCAGTCTCTTCCTTCCATGTTGTTCCACTTTTTAACAAGGATGTACTAATACAAGAGATAAAAAGAAACTAGATTTGCTAGATACATGTAAATGTATGCTTGTAGAACATCAAGCGTTTTATGAAAATGTCATTGTAATATTAACCATCTTTGGAAACACCCTGCTAAATGGGCGACTATATTCCTTGTATTTTTTTGTATTGTATTTTTGTTGCGTTAATTTTTAAAGTGGAATATTATTTTGAAAAGGATTAAATAGTAATTAGATCAAAAATCTTTTTGTGTGGCTAGGGCTGTTTCCAATAGATCGATGATTATTTCCATAAAAAATTGAAATGCAATAAATATCACCTGAAATCTAGCAATAAATCTTTCTTTAGTGTAGACATATATATGCACATTTTGCAGCTAGTTTGTAACATATTTTACAGAAAATCTTTTTTGGGTTCTTCTGAAGAAAGAAAGAAAGAAAGAAAGAAAGAAGGGGGGAAAGAAAGAAAGAAGGGGGGGGGGGAAGAGGGGGGAAGAAAAGAAAAGAAAAAGGTTCTGCTGACTAGATCCCTTTTCGGAGCAACTACTCAATTATATAATTGAATCATATAATACAAATATTACCCAACTAAAGAATTTGCCAAAATATTAAAAATATTAGAAGGAAGAAACAGCCACAGTTGGAAGATGTATTAATATGATACGATTCACAGCACGATTCCAGAGTTGGAAAATGTATTAATATGGCACGATTCACAGCATGATTCCAGAGTTGGAAAATGTATTAATATGACACGATTCACAGCACAATTCCAGAGTTGGAAAATGTAATAATATGACACGATTTACAGCTGATGGTCAAATACACTTTCTTATTTATTTAGGTAATGCTTCTATTAGCAGCTAAAAGAAAAAAGTCTTTCAGCTGAACTAATAAAGCCCTGGAATTTTTGTGTATTTAACATCAAGAAAATCAAAAGTATAATAGGAATCTTTGACTCATTATGTTTTGCAGACTGTAATAATACAATTAACAATTTTGCTATTAGGAACTAAATATCAAAATTCGATTAAAAAATGAGATGCATGATAATTTGAACTGCTAGCAAGCAGTTACATTTTATACAGGAAAATGAGAAAATGGTGAAAAAATACACATTTTGCCATTACAAATCAAAGTAATAAGGCAATAAAACAATTACTTACTAGCATAACGAATGTAAACATTCCAAACTCTGGAAATTTTTGTTTTATACTAGAACCCAACTCTGAACTGTCAGCCGAACTGTGCATTACAGAATTACAGGCTGGCACTGGGCCTGAGTAAACATTCTAATATTATAAACAGTTTAGATTAAATTGCATGGAAATTCAAATAGTCACTTTAATTTTCTTGCACAAGATAATTTTTCTCCCTGTCCATCATTTTAATTTTACAGATTTAGAGTTTCTGCTCATTTCTGACCACCCATAATACGAAGTGGGGTACCCAGAAGAGCTGTAAATTCCCAAAAGCGAAGCAGGTTTAAGAAGGATAATTTCGTAGAATACTGCAAACGAAAGACGACTCATGTTCCACTTATTTTCCCGTTAGTTAACAGCATATTATGCGTACGTTTCCTCAACCTCGATGTTCCATGGGACCATCTGATACAGTGAACCAAAAATGATAGTCCATTGAGGTTCAGAGTTGCCAAATGTGATAACACAACAGACTGTACTGAGTTATTCTCAAAGATATATAAGTTACCCATATTTCAAATGAGAGGAAAGTTTTTATTTTTTCGGTACCTATTGCTAGAACAAATATCTGACACCATGCACACATACGGCTAATTCATAGACTTGCTAACTAATATATAATAGACTAGCTGGATCTGTGCAAACATTTCACACTTTGCAAATCATGTTTCAAAAGTTATATCATTATATATTAGTTAGCAAGTCTATGAATTAGCCGTATTTGTGCATGGTGTTAGATATTTGTTCTAGCAATAGGTACCGTGAAAATAAAAACTTTCCTCTCAATTGATATGGGTAACTTATATATCTTTGAGAATAACTCAATACATGAAATAGTTTATTTATTTATTTATTTATTTACATGAAAAACAGTTGAAAGTGGTGTGTGACGTGCCATGGGGGGATACCATATTATATACCATTTGGATACAATCCAAATGGTATTTAATTTATTAAATGTCATTGTTAAAATTAATATTACTTTCTCTTTGGATGTTTGGTATAGTCTCTAATTATATAGAAACAGTTGTGCATCAGAAAAGATTTTACTTGGGACTTAAACTTTTGCACTGAATTTAATCATTTAATGTCATCTGGCATAGGGGTTGTAAAATATTTTACATGTATTATACGTGAATTTTTTGTAGTGAGCTGTTGATACTGTCACCTGATGAATATAATTACTACGTCGAGTGTTCTAGTTATAGATAACGGCGTTTGCTGAAAATATATTCCCATCCTCAAGCAAGTCGTTTTTGATAAAACCACCAATTCATACATGAAAAGGCAAGGTAATAGTAAAATACCTATATTAATAAAGAGAGGCTTACAAGAATCATGTGGGAGGGATTTACTTATTATTTGTACAATTCTTTTTTGCAATCTAAAAGTCTGGGAGTTATAAGATGTGTTTCTCCAGAATATTATGCCATATGTCAGGAGGGAATGAACATTCGCGAAATATACACAACAAGCAGTGTGGAGGCTGAGTTTGAAAGAATTCTGAAAGCGCAGCATAAAGAACTTAATTTAGTGTTCAATTCATTTAAATTGACGTTCCAAGACCTAAAAATGTTGTTAACATCAGTCACTGGCACACCGTTCATTTTCAGTGAAGTACTGAACTGTTTATTTGAAATGGAAAACTGCAATGAAACAGTTGTCTTTTCATTTACTATTAATTTGTTATTACAGAACCAATTTGAAATATTTGATATTGAACTAGTTATGGTTTTTTATTGCAAAGAATATTCCACAAAGAGAACTGTCCTCCCGTTTCTAATCAACGAGGGCACATTGTAGGAAGAAAATACGGCTTAAAATCAATCCATGGGGGACTCCACATGCAATTAGCAAAGAATCAGAAAGGTGTGTATATTATGATCCATTATTCCAGTAAAGTAGTTCTACTCTCTGAGATCATTGTTTAAGATACGAACATAACCAAACTAGAGCACTACCATGAATTCCATATGACGGTAATTTTGAAAGTAAAATGTTATGATCAATGATGTCAAAAGCTTTTGAAAGATGTAAAATATTCCAATAGGTGCATCATTTTGATCCACGGATGAGGCGACATCTTTAAGAAAAGAAAATATGGCTGTTCCCATAGATTTTGATTTTCAAAACCCATGTTGGCAATCTGAAAACACATCGTGTTTACTAAGAAATGTTTCCATTTGTACGTAAAAAAGGCTAATATTTTTTAAAAAGCAACAAAAGGGAAATTGGCTGATAATTTTGAATTTCATTTGTTGCCTTTTTTTAAAACCGGCTTCATCTTGGCTTTATACTGGATCATAACTTCAGGCAAGAAATTGAACTGTACATAGAACCATTGTATGGCCATCACAACAAGCTAAATTGGCTACTGGTCAATCAACGTCCAGCTTGGGTGAAAAGACACATACTACTCACTCTCCATGAAATCAACTTGGTTTGGTTTGGTTTGTTTCAAATCCTTATGCCCCTTCAAAAACATTGAACAGGTCTCAACAATATTAATACAAAAAAATAGGAACTTCCCTCAAAATTCAATTTTGAACTTTCCTCTTTCTCCATGTATCATTATCTGGCGAAGCATGAAAGATTTCACCAGGGCCACAGGTCAATGCTTAATTCACAAATATAGGTTATATTGGGGAAATAATTTCTGTGTATTAGTTATAAGCAGCAGATAAAAAACAAAAGCCTCACTCGCTCCATTGCCTGTGCTCAAAGTATTTACATGATTATTTACATATTTTCTGGCCTAGTGCAGGCATAGTGCCTATCAGTGGCAAAATATTCCACGACAATGACACCCCACACAGATTGTTTTCGTGACTAATAATAATTTTTAATTAATATTCATAGTTTAGAGATCCATTAATATTATTTAATATTCATAGCATATCTTGTTCAAAGCCTTTACAGAAAGAATTATCACATTACTGTTAGTTGGTCTTTAGTTGAGCACAAAAAATGGGGGGGGGGGTCAGTCATATCTCACAATTGATTGGTTCATCATCTGCCATTGTCATGAAAAACCTGCTTGCTGAAAATTAATGTTTCTACAACAGCTTGAAAGGAGTGATATATACTTCAAATAGTTTCAATCTGCAATCAAATTAAGAGCATAATTTGAAGCAACACGCTCCTGAAAATTGCAAACAGGCGTACACAATTCTAATCTCTATCTGACAAATGATCCACGCAAATAAATGAAATGTTCAGTTATTATACTTACTTGAGTACTGATTCATATGTTGTTCATCAAATCCAGATGTTGCTTCTTCATTTATATCACATTCAGACACATCCTGTGGGGGTTCATCACCTTCATCTTCATCCATTTGTTCATGTTTTGGCACTAAATACACATGATGCATAGGTTCAGATTTCACATTGTGTTCTGCATCACGTGACTCTTGTTCCGGCAAAGGAGGCATCTGTTGGGAAGATTGTATCACTGATGTTGATTTCACTGGTTCATACGAACTATTGTTCCCTTCCAATGAAACAGAACAGTTCTCAGTAACATCTGTATACTCTTCTGAATGGTAGGAATGGTGCTGTTCAGAAGAATTCTCAGGGCTGGGTTCATGACTTGCACTGGCTATCTGTACTTCACAAGTAACTTTTTGATCCTCAGGAGGAAGACGATGCCTAGTCTCTCTAGTAGAATCAACAGGTTGGAGCTTCCTCCTCTGCAACAAGCACAAAACAGCCGTTACATTATGTTGCATTTCAAGTTTCCCCTAAGTACATGATATCCAATTTGTTGAACATACGATTTCAGAAGAGTTTAGATATTTTTCTAGCACATCAACTTTTTTTGCAATTGTACATTATGAATTGCACAAATACATTTTTCAAATGAAACATTTCATTGATTCAAAACAAGAAGCAAACAAAATATCTAAAACTTCAGCCCATACATTCAAAATGCATAACAAGGAATAAAGAAATTGTAATGTCACTGAAGAGGATGCAATTAATAAAATTGTTCCATAATTTCTACAAAAAATAAAGAAACCATCTTCCTGGAAAAAAAGCATAAACTTCTTCCCAATTTCTTTACCCAAGAAAATTAATGGCATGAAAATTCAAACAAAATCATTCATAAGTTCCTCCTATGCTTTTCTTCTCAAAATAGGTATTGAGGTTGTTGAATCAATCTTATAACTTTAACTTACAGAATTTCAACTTATACTCAGTTCATGATGCTCAGTGGTGCATTATAACATTAATTTTGTTAGAGCTATTGAAATTGTAAAAGACATTTGATTCATTATCCTTAAATAATGTGAGGAACCTTCCAATTAATTTTTTATGGTAAAAACTGCCAAAAATCTACCCGTAAAACATGTATTATGACAAAACAATGTGTAAAGAGAAAGAAATAGAACCAAGATTTATCTAGTCCAGTTTTATTACTCCAGATGTGGCAATAAGAGTATTGCTTTTAAATTCTGTGTTTTCCCACCGCGACATCGTGAAGAAAAGGGGAGATGGAGTGGAGAAAAGGAGCAGGGAAGAGAGAGGTGAAAAAAATAGGGAGAGAGGAGGATGGGGAGCGGAGAGATCCAAAAAAGAGGGGAGGAAGGGAGAGGCAAAGGGTGAGAGGAGGAGAGAAAGGGGGAAAGCGAGAAACAAAGGAGTGGGAGAGAGAAAGAGGGGGAGAAGGCGGAGAGAAAGGGAGAGAAAGAGGGAGGTGGAAAGGCTGAGAGCCCACTTTGACTTGTCTCTACACTTTCCTTGGAGGTGCGCCCCACACTTTGGGAATCAATGTCTTAGAGGAAGAAATTTACTACATAAAGAAACACAGTTTAGTTACTATTTGTTACGAGGGCCTGGCAATAAGGGTTTTAATATTGATTAATTGCCATTTTCTCCTGCAGTATTGCAATACTTTCACTATACTGAGTAAGCAGTTGGATTGAAATAATTAAGTAAGGTTAATGTAATAAAGTTTTGAATAAATATATGAATGTTTACTTTTGAGGACAAATATATTAAGGGTTCAAGGTTCAAAAGAATCATTAATGGAAGTGATTAAATTACAATTTAAGGCACTTATTTAAATGGAAAGTAGAGGTTGGGATTAGGTGTACACTCTTGTACAGGCTCTGATCATTTCTCACCAAGCAAGCATTCAGAAAGTTTATTATATTTAATGAATATGATATTGTTACTTTATATAACTTTACATACATTCTTCTTTGAAGAATCATTCAGGCCCTTGATTTGCAAAGTTTCTGCAAGTGTAAGAAATGCTTCCAAGCGTTCTTCTGGAACCTGGGTCTCTCCATGGTACATAAAATCAACCATGGCCTTCAGAGTCTCGAATGATGCATTTTGAATAATGACAATTGGATGCTTCTCACAATCTTCACCAAACAACATCTATTAACAAATTAGAAAATACAAAATGGTGAAAAAAGCATAATTTTCAAAAACATCAAAGCAATTCAAAAATACTATTTTAAAAATGTTACAGTGACTATACATAACATCTAAAAGGATATAACAGGTTCTAGATGTAATTTACGCATCAATTTCAAGTTTTGTTTCCAGAAAATGCCCTGCAATTACAAAAACAAAGTGAAAAGTGTGGGAGTTGAGGAATCAAACTTTAAGAAATGGCACCAATTCACATTGCAGAGAATCATTTCTTTGGGGTGGAAGTACAATAGAGGTGGTGCTACTGATGCAATGGCAGTTGGTGGCATGGTAACAGTCACTGAAGTGCTACAGGGTGATTGATGGCATGCTTTGACCAGAGATTAACATTTATTTTTACAAATATTTTATTTACATTTATATTTCAATTCACTGCTATTATTCATAACTCAACATAACTGTTTTGTGCTCTAATGAGAGTCCCTCTTCAACTATCACTTGAATGTGATTCAAAAAGGACGTAAATTTTAAAAATTTTAAAAGAAATGCAACACATATATGAAATTACAATGGACAGACAGTCAAAATCTTAAAACCCCTTCTTTGGACCTTGCAACACCCAATACTTCGGAGATCTGTCAAAATCTCAAAAAAATGTTTTTCTATTTTTTAACCTAGAATAAAACATTCACTTTACATTTTGTATTAAAAAAAAAAATCAGCAAACGTTTTCATGACAAAAGTATTGTTTTGATCAACTTCTTCAAATTTTATTTTCTTTATAAAAGGGAATGACACCATTGTGTCTTATTGTGTAATAAAATAGGCCAATTAGAAGACACAGGGAAGACACAGGGTCTTCCTTCTTGCTAAAAATTTGCAACCCCCCACCCCCAGCTATACACCTACCACTAGCAAAGGTGAGTGCAACAAAATGTACGCATAGAAAAGCTGTAGTTTTGACAATTCCAAAAATGGAGAGTTGAAACCAGTTAGAACACCCTGTCTAGTGATGAAATTAAACCTAAATACTGAATTCAACACAAAAAGTCCTTGGGCTTCTATACAATAAACATTCTCACTTTTTGGTCACCTATGACTATCATTTGGATAGTCTTCAAGGGACTTTCATTATGTTCATCTAAGTGAAAAAAATGTATCAATGTAAAACACACATCTGAAATAATTAAGCATGAAAGGTATAGCAATTTATCTGGGACTTGCGCGAAAAAAAAAGTATAAACATGAAAAATGTGTAAATGTAAAATGTATAAACAGAATATTTACTAGGCTTCCAGGTGACGCCGCGTCCATGGCAAAGGTGCCGACGTTTCGGTCGCCATTCTGCGACCTTCCTCAGGGCGTAATACCAATGAGGAAGGTGGCAGAATGGCGACTGAAACGTCAGCACCTTCACCATGGATGCAGCGTCACCCGGACAGCCTAGTAAAAACTGACTCCGGCCACGGAAGCCTACGCTCTCACTCTCGATAAACAGAGTTTCAATGTGCATTAATTTATGTTGACAGAATATTCACCTTACATGCTCTTTTCTCTTTGCGATTACAATAATAAGGTATGATAACTGCCACAAGTCAACCGACTCCAACACCCATTGCAACACAAATTCCTGCAGCAATCCTGTGCATAACTCCGAAGCCAGCACACTTTCTATTCAATAGTTAATAAAGAATTGCACCTTACCTGGAAATAAGGACTGCATGCAGACAAAATCAGCCTATGCGCTTTCAGAGCTTTTCCCTCAGCTGCTATAGTGCAATCAACCAAGAAATTGTTGTCCAATAAAGTTTTACAAACTTCAGTTAGTGCACCAGAATGATCTTTCCAGCTTACAGACAGCACAGTAGAATCCATGTTTAAAGAAAACTGAAACATTAAAAAAATAACAATTCATAAAAAAACGCCACCCAAAAATAAAATATCAGCTGTAATGCTTGTTGTAAACAAAAAAATGATCTGTATTCATTACACATTCTGCAGTCTCTTGATATCATCACTCTCTATACTTTATCAAGAATTTAACATGCTCAGAAGTACAAAAACTAGTTGTGCATCGGAATGGCACAACTTTCTTATTGTAGTTGGTTTTCTAATTTCTTTAGTCTGAGCTAGCATTCCATTTTCTTTTCCCATCGGCCATCTATTGCGACCCAAAGTACATTTTTCACATTTTCTCAATTTTCCTGTCCTAGGACTTTAAAGGATATTACAGAAGAGCAAAACCTTGTCCTATATGGAAATCTTCATTGAGAAATTTGGAGCCATTTTTGAGCAAGTATCCCTGTGTTTTTATAATTGTAATATTTGAAGCTCTTTTTCACAGAAAACTAGAGTTTTTGAGAAACTTCATTGGAAATCATTTGAACCACATCTACTCTCAAATGCAATAATGTATTGAAAAAAACATGTTAATATTAACAATGTGAAAGGTATTTTAAAAAATATTTCATTTGTGTAATTTTTGAAGAAACATAAGAACATTTCAATAAAAGAAACAATTTTTGAAGAAACAAAAAAAAATTAGGTTCACTCTTTTCCTGGAACAAATTTCCCTGACTTTTTCTGGTTTTCAAGTGTATTTTTCTAAAATTCCCTGTTAAGATTTAAGATTTGTCAGAGATGTCACGCTACTACTGAAAAAAATATTAAAGCAATGCTGACACTAATTTGTCAGCTTTCTGATTTTTCTGTGTCAAAGAATTTTTTAAAATCCTCAACAAATAAAAATTCAGCCATTACGTTTCGCTAGACTAATTTTTTAAAGGAAAAGTATCTAGATACATAACTATCAAAATTTTCTGACTCCTAAGGATTCTTCTTCAAATTCCCAGACCTCTCAACAGCAATGCAATTCCTCAATTTTCCCCATTTTCCACAAAGTGGTTACCCTGTACTATCCATTCGAAAAAACTAAAAAAAAAAGAATTGGAACAATTTTCAAGAAAAGGGCATTTGAGGTTTTCTAAACATGCATAATTTCAAACTCATTTTCAGAGAAAAATATTGAAAAACAAAAAGAATGCACGAAAACGACCAAAAATTCCAAAAAATGTGAAAGATGTTAATGAAAGAACTAATTATGGAATACAAATTACTTTGAAGAAAAAATCCCAGATCTTTAATACTGTAGCTGTAAGACTCAAAAAAATTCAACTTCTGCAATTGTTGAAAATGAGAAATGTACATTGAAAATTGTCTCTGTAAATGTATTTCACTATATTCTTACAAGACATTTATTTCAAAAATTTTCAAAATGTTTGCATGTTTGTTTATTTATTTATTTGCATCTAAACATGCAATTACCCAATACTACAGGTTTATACAATATTTATAATTTGATACTAAAAATAGCAAAAATATAAAAATACATTTTAATTGTAATCGCAGAGATAATGGGACTTTGTATAATTAACAAATTGACTAACCGAGATATAATTTATGTCAATATCACTGTTATTATAGTTTCTGCAAATACGCCATATAGGAAAATAATAACCCAAATTAGTTCACGCAAACGGAATAAAACATGTATATCATTTTGACAAAATCTGGGTATACGCAATGGTATTTTCCAATTGATCAAAGATAATAGTTTGCTTACTGTCAATATCATGATTTAATAATTTGAATAGAAATAAGATGTCATTACATTTTCTATGGGATTCAAGAGATCTAATTTGAAGATGTAGTGAAAAATTCCCTGAAATCGTGGTTTAATCTTGGGGATGGTAATTTAAGAAACCAAGCTGCTAAATTAAAAAATTTATGTTGTACTGATTCAATTCTCTTTTTGTGTACATCATAACAAGGAGATCAGTTTTGTGAAGAGTACATACGTATTGGTCGCACTAATGTTACATACAAAGTTCTAAGAAGGGTTTCTAAAGTCAGTTGCAGTTCTCATAATAAATCCTAACATAGGATTAGCTTTATCTACAATAATATCTATATGTCGATCAAATTTCATTTTTGAATCGAAAATAACTCCAAGATCTTTTATTTTATAGACAGACTCTAGTATCACTCCATCAATAGAATACTCATGGTCGACAATATTTCTGTGTTTTGTGAATTTCATCACTTTGCACTTATTTAAATTAAAGTTTAATTGATTTGATTTACTCTAATTTATAAGACTATTCAAGCACTCCTGTAGTTGTTTGCAATCATTAACGGTATTAATTTCTCTATAGATTTTTAAGTCGTCAGCAAATAATAAAAACATGCAATTTGAAAGAAATAATTTCACATCATTAATAAATAACAAAAATAAAAGGGGTCCCAAGTGAGAACCTCAGGGTACTCCTGATGGTACAATTGTGTCGCAGAATAAAAATGATAAATATTTAACATTCAATATTCTATCAGACTAATAGTTTTTCAACCATTGGAAAAGACTACCGTGAATACCCAAATTTGATAACTTTTGTATAATTCATGGTTTCCCTGTTAATGAAAGAACTAATTGTGGAATACAAATTTCATCTGAAGAAAAAAATATCTTTAATACTGTAACTTTAAGAAGACTGAAAAAAATTCCAACTTTTGCAATTTTTGAAAATGCAAAGTGTACAGTGAAAATCGTCTCCGAAAATGTATTTCACTCTATTCTTACAAGACATTCATAGAAAAAATTTGGAGCCATTTTGGAGAAAATTTTGAAAATGTCCAAGGGCTTCATGAAAAGCACCCCCAAAATTTTAAAGAATGTTTCTCACAATCATACAGCTTCAAGTCAAGTCAGATGACTTGGATCCACCAGGGAACATTCATTTCAATCTTACAAATAGTTTAGGCGCTACTGTTGTCCACAGATGGATGGATAGATGTTTTGTCATAAATTAATTTTTCCGTATCCCACAAATCATGGATTCTGACCACACGTGTCAGAGTGCAAGTAATTTTCTACTTATTGGAACAAGATTTATCCACCTTTTCTCTATCAATGGCTCACAATATGAGTTTTTCTGTTCAAAATCAATTTTTTTGCCACATTACACCTTTCTATATACTACGTATTTCAGGATTTTTTAGAAACTTTATACCCGCTCAATTGGTTTGTCTGATAGGAAATGAACATAGGGCTCTTTGTCTTGAATAAGTCTAGTATTAGATATCTGGGAAGTATGAGGTGCAAGAGCTGTCATTCGTAGTGAGTTTTTGTCTCTCCCCGTTTATTCACATTGTTGAGAAAGGAAGTTGTTTTGTTCAACTTAATTAAGTAGATGAAAACTATCAGTGATTTTTGAGTGAACAGTGTAATAATTGAGTTTTACATGTGTTATTAATAAGGAAACAATAGCAATGGGTTAAAGAGCAGTCCTAGGTCCAAGAAAAAAAGGGAAATTAAGATTGTGTTGAAGTTTTCGAACTTAAAAGGGTGTGTGAAATTGCCAGGAAATATGATGTGCGACTACAAGTGTTGGCATAATTAAAAGGTGAAATTAGGTGAACCACTCACACAAACAAAGTGGCAAAACTGTAGGGGACTGAGAAAGGCCACGCCAAGGCAGGAATGAATGTTAAAAAAATGGTTTTGTGTAACCAAAAGGCTACTGTTAGGAACATTCTTGATCTTTCAAGTTTGCAGGTTGTAATTTAAGCACAAAGACAGCTCATAGGCAACTTAACGAATGTGGTTTACAATGACACCAATCAATAAAAAGGTCAAAATTCACACCAGCAATAATGAGAAAACATGGACTTTGGACTTTGAGGACTGACTGTGACATCTGGACTTCGACATCTTGGACTTTGAGGCATAGAGAATGGACAGCAAATAATTGGTCAAAAAAGTAA